TTTAGTATTGTTAGTAAAAAAACTGTCACTATTATTCCTCAAATAGTATTGTTATCGTTATCAGCCTTATACATTTTTGTTACTTCGTGTGGTATAATATGAACACTATGTACCTAATCACCATCAATCGATCGTATCAGATTATGTTCTGAGCTTAAAGTAGCTTAAAATGACAAAGCGAAACATTCTGTCATATTCATTCTGTGTTGAGTATAAATGTAAATAATTCTTATTACTGAAAAATTAAAATGCTTGATTTTATTACCATGTGAAACCAATAGTGGATCGGACGGTATTTAAATGAGTTCCCCGTATCATTAATTTAATTTGCAATTACAATATTTAATTGTAAACGTCTTATTTTATCTACAAATTGATTTAATCCTAACTCCAGCATCCATTTCATTTGGGTTTAAATTGTATAATATTCATAGTTGTATAGATATAAAAAATTGTTTTGTCTGAATTAAATAGTATGATTAAAATATAACATTATCATCCATTATTAAAATATTTATTGTTTTTCAATTTTTTTTTTTTTTTGGGGGGGGGGAGGAATTTAAACTGCATGCTTACTTAAATTAGTTTTCATAACACCTACAGTCTATTCATAAAATAAATTGAAATAAATAAAATATATAAATAGCATATTATATAGATATGTCATATTACATATGTACATTAAACATAATAAAAAGTAATAATCAAACATATACCTATATAATAGTGTAATGATAAAATAAATTAAACTATAATAATAAGTACTATGTCATTTATAGTAGGTAATAGGTATACCTTTATAATACGAGTATACATAGTGATATATAATAATATTTTTATCAAATTAAACAATATTTAATACAATAAATTTATAAAATTAATAATAACATTTCAAAAATACATAGTTATTAACTATTAAGTACCTACTTATTGTTAACGGAAGATATTATTTGATTCAAATTTTAGGCTTGATCACATGACTATTATATCTTTAGAAGAAAATTTTAAAAAGGACGCTTTCCTAGTAGAATTCAGAATCTACATTTAGAAAAATAGTGATTAATTTCCATATTTTAATTCCTAGTTTTATTTATGTAATAATGTATGTATCATATATTCATCTTACTGTTATATGAATAAGAATTGAAATATATTTTATAGTTTTTATATTTTATGAATAATATATTGTTTACACGGTATACAAATGAAAATAAATTTAATCTGATACAAATAATAGTTAAAAACTTAAAATTGAATTAAAAGTATGGTTTATCGAGAGAAGTAAGCTCGGAGTAAGGCATCATACTTTCTAAAGTGTACATGCTTGCCTATTATTGGGGAGGACTAGACGGGGCACTCCCCGCCTGAAAAAATAATTTTAACTTATAATTTAATAAATATTACCATGATAGAATCTAATAACTTAAACATTATAAAATAATTTTTTTGATTGTATTGGGAAATGAAACAAGTATAAAAATATATAATGAATGAGGGTAGGTTATTCACGGTTGTAACTGTTATCTTATTAACGACACATGTGATACCTATGTGCTGCGTAAAATTATTTATATTTAATGTTTTATTTATTTTTCCACCACCCTCCTTCTCCCTTAAAATGTTAAAAATATAAGTCAATGTTAGTATATAAATAGGTATATATATTATATAATTTACATAAATATTTATACAATTAATATTAATATACATAACATTTTAGAATAATGCTTTATGTGCCTAAATAAAAATTCTAATAACATTATGCATAATTTATTTTATATAACTTTCAAATAATAACTGTAAAATAAAACAAATATTCAAAATATAATGTATCTAAATATAAGAAAGAAAAATTGATTAAAATTAAACAATTTCAAATTTAACACAGAAAGTGAATTGGTATTTTTGGATGAACTAAATATCAGGGACCTGATTTTGAACAGTAAACGTTTCTAATTAAACTTAGGTTAAATTTAACTCAAAACTAACTTTTTATTTATTTTTCAAGTATCCAACCTCACCATAATAATTATATTACAAAAAGTAAAAATAATCTCATCAAACTTTTTTTTTGAATTATTAACATGTAAAATTAACATATCGAGGGTAATGTCCTTACTCCGTAACTCGCATTATCTCAGTCTTTGTATCTACGGTATAGTAATTTCTTTATTCGTTGACCATTGTTGACGCATTGTCATAGAAAATTATGTTAAAAGAATAACTGTGATCAAAGGTTTGTTTATCTTTTATTTTTTTGTTTTGAAAATTCTTTTACATTATTGTACTTTTTGCTCGCTTCATAATAATAACGTCATGTATGTTTGTCAAATATTTTTATTATTATTATAACAGCGTTATTACTATAATTTATTTATGTACACTATTCATAGAGAATAAAATAGTCAAATATATAACGTAACTTAATAAACATATATATATATATTTTTTTTTCGCAAGGTGCATCAGAACTATGCATAGTACTTATTACCCACACTGTTATATGAAATTATCATTATATTTTTATTACATTTCATACGCAATCTGCATCACCAAATTTATTGAATTATGGTGTACCTATGTTTAAGCAAAAAATATGACAAATTTAGTTTCACGGCTAATTTAATCGAATTTGTGGATGTAGTTCAATGTATGTTACCGAATAATATTGTGATTTCGGCATTTACCAACATCAGGAAAATTATAAATAATCTTCATAAGCGGTGAGTGGTGAAAGCGAATCGCGATTATTACATAGGTACGTACTTATACGTATTTTCTTGACTGGATATGTACACACCATTTGTACATTTCCATCGCTACTCGCTAGAGTAGCTTACCTAACTTAGCCACCTATCTGTCTTACCTAAAAAATTGTTATCAGATTTGTATTTTAATTCTTGATTTTACAGTATTCTAATCTATTAAGTTTTGTTGTTTTCGTAACACACCTTGCGCAAAACCACGTAGCTTGACGTTGGTGACTTAGGATATTTTGAATATATATTATATGTTTTTATGATAATTATTATTTAATACTAACTACCAATTTGTAAGTACTTAACATCGTTATCTTTGTAAAAATTGTAAATAATAGGTATAATATATGCTTAAATCTATTAGGTATATATTTATATTTTATAACTAATATATTATCAAGATTCGACGTTCAATAAATCTATTTTGTTCATTTATATAGTGTTCAAATAAATTCGATGAATAATTATTTATATCAAGAAATTGTTAATCATAGGTACAAATTATTTCACGTTGAGTTTTAACTACACAAAGAATAATATTTCGACATATTATTATAGTTATAATAACATTTATATAATCTAAATTAATTAATAAAAATATTTTCGTTGTTTGTGATAAAAAACTATAACTAAAGAATAAGAATAAAATATGTACAAAAATTTACAATAATTGCTTAGTTTTATCAAAAATCAATAAACTTATATATTTATTTTACGATAATCATCTTTTATTAATCCTTATATTTTATCAATTATCATTTATCATAGACAAAAATAAACACGATTTAATGCAGTTAGTACCTACAAATTAATTCAGCCAAATTGAAGCCAATTTAAATAAGAGTGGATCAAATGATCGATATCTGCCCTTAATCATATTTTCTGGAGCCATTTTTAATTATGAGTAGCACTAGTAGCAGAATGTACATAGTTGATAATTTATTAATCTAAGCATAGGATTATGAAGATTATCTATCTCATTAATTGTATCAATTCAATATTAGGTGATAAGTGATAAGTATAACTAATAATTGTATCTGACTGAAGATAAACAAGTCAATAAATGAAATATTATGACTTACGACGAATAAAGGTGAGTAGGTGTGTGTAAAGACGTAAAGTAAATGGTAATTTTATTTTGTAATACCATTAATACTGCTATATATAATACATATATGCACATTGCACATGCAAATCACGCAAATGTCAACCACTTTATGTAACGTTGTCTCATGCATTATTTTATCATTTATTATGGACGTATCAAATATTAGTTCTTACATAAACACATAAACAATGACAGTTGTAATGGTTATAGTAATACAAGTATATTGTATCAAAAATTGTAATAGATTAAACAATAATAATTGGTATATGATATAAATAAAGTAAAAAACGTTTTCTCAAATCAAAATAGTTATCTATGATATAAATAATAGACTTTTTATTTCGATAATGTTTATCGTTATTGTTTAATAATTTTCAAACCGTTTCTAGTCCGATATTATAATATATGCGGTACAAGAAAATAGTTTTGTCAAACTTGTCGTTGTTCACTAGTCATTCTATAATAAAGTGGTAAATCAACTTTAATACTGTGCACTTCTTATCTAAAAGTTTTACCTAAACAGAAAACTAAGTTCGTACTCTGCCTGGCGTGTCGTTAAAGTCTTCCAGTGTAGCCGTTCTGTGTTATGAGGTGTTCAGACGTTTTGCACAAATATTAGGTACTATCAATGTCACTATCATTGACATCGAATGCAATTTAGATCTATTATTATTGCAAAACTATCTCCCCCGTGTATTGTTTTCATCGTGTCTTTGTTAGAGCAGTTAAATGTGTATGCGCGCGTTTACACAGAGGTTGGATATAAGAGCAGAGCTCGAGGGGGTCGCGGCTGAATCACGACACAACCGGTTCCCAGAGACAAGCGACTGGTTTTTTTTTTCATCCATTATTTTTGTTATTCTTATTATTTATTAAGTATTATTACTAGACTAGACAAACGTACAGTTAACGCGTGTAGCATAGACTAACTATTTAATGTATACCTATTACTCGTACCTTGTGTGTTACCGTGTACCTTTGTGCTCTACATAGGTACCGGAAACTGTCAAAGCTCATACATTCATACTTCACCCCATTATACATATTATTATCTGGTCTCGGGAAAAAAGCATAATGTTATAATGTTTAACACTTTGTTATATATTTTTTATCTATGCGTAGTACGTACTCACCTCTGATTTGTGGTTTTTTCTCGTCTTTTTCTCTCCCTCTACGCGTATGTATAATTAATTATTGTTGTACAGGAACACAAATCGATCGGTTTCACGTGAGATTCGTTAGTTGATTGTAAATATTCCGGTACATTTTGCGAGTCGAGTATTATAGGTACACCAACACCGGGTTTTACATGTAACGAGCTAAATACATAAATAAAATGATATTGGTAACCATTAAGTATACGGCAGTGACACGGTCCTCCGCGAGGACTGATGAAAGGTATACTGTTAGTTAGTGCACTGAATAAACCGAGTGTGTATGAAACTATGGATAGGTAGGTACTAAAAGTGAATGGGTTTGAACTGCAGCAACTGGTAGGAGAAAGCCGGAGTGGGAATGATTGGCTGCTGTAGCGGGTCTATTCGTGTGGTTTGATGCACAATAGCGTCATCTTGCTCTTGAGGCGTCAAAAAGTTCTTCTCATTTCATATTCGTTATATATTTAATGAAAAAATAACATGGACTATTAAGTAAATGGTTATCGTACACACGATGATTCGTCAAAACTGCCTACTCCCTTTTTTTTTCTTTAATAATGTTATTCACAATTTGATTTTTGGAATTTTTAAATATTATTATATTATAATATTATTATCATATTATTTTTAAATACTTGCGATATTTGTGATTTTTAACATTATTTAACTATTTTTAACTTTAAATTATTCAACAAATAATTTATTATAAATCGAAATTCTAACGAGTGGTTAGTACTTTGATATCACAATATTGTTTTAATGTAAGATTTTAGATTATAGAACACTGAAAAAGCAGTCTAGGTATGTTTGAAACATATTATACCAAGAAGTTTTTGTAAAATGTTGCACGACTCGTTTCAGTATCATCATTTACCGTTAATGATTTAAACTATGAACTCGTACTGTGGTTTATCAATATTATACTTATAATTGATGTGTTCATTTTTATTTAAATAATTTATTAAAGGTTTTAAATAAAGGGTTTTTAGACAGCGAACCATCCAAATATTTTTTTTTAAGTTCCACGGGCTGAATTTATAATAAAATCATTTTCTAAATTACTAAAAAATACATGCTGTGCTTAAAATATATTGGGTTGAAGATTTTTGTTTTAAATATTATACTTGAAATGTATGTATTTATTATTACCTCATTAATGTATATAAAATTGTATACTACTCAATAAAACATTAACACAGTATAAAATTTTATTTCCATGATTCGTTCAATTTATAATTTATTTAATATTTAATAAATTAAAATTTTGTCCTAATAATCATCTACCTATGAAAAGATTAAATAATATTAGACTGATTAATATTATTTTAATTTGTGAAACTTATACTTGAAACAAAAAATAATTATTTCATTTTAGAGTTAAAATAATCGTATTAATCTGTATTAACTTATATAATACATTTAGATGATTTAAACGATCATTCTAGTGGCCTATTGGGCCATTTAGCAAATAGTTGACGGTTTTCTATAACTCTTTCTACTCACGTTATGTGATTTTCTATTTCTATTGTTAACCACGAGCGAAATTGAATTGTATTAGTTAATCTATAAGTTTGTGAAGACTAAGATACTTTTTTCTTCCAAAATCCAAATATTTCTATAATATCACTAAATAAATATTATAAATAACTATTGTTAAATATTAAATTGAAAAAAAAAATAACATAATACAATTTTTCTGTTATTGATTACTATGAAGCTAAAATATTTGAGTAAGTATACGCTTATTAAATTCTTTATTATACTTGATTACATAACAAATTCTTTATTATATTCGATTATATATTATTATGTTTATAATACACCAATATACGTATATATAACATAGTATAAAAAGGAAATTGAAGTCAACCAAAAAGCAATTGCTATATCATAAATAAATATAAGTTCTGTAATAAAATCTTTATTTTCACATACCATATTGATTACAGGTAAATCAAATTATATTTATTACCTATACTTGATACTTGTATGATATTTAACTAATATAAAAATACTGATAGTATTCTGTAAAATAATCGTTTTTTTGGGGTTTTTTAATGATTATTATTATCTATTAAATAGTTTTGAATTGAATACACGAATTTATTTTATTTCTGTAATTAATAATATTTTTGGTATTTAAAATGATTATGACTTTTACCTTTATTTATAAATAAAAAAAGCTTGAAAGCTTAATACAAAGTTAGATTTTTAACACAGTATTAAAATATCAGTAGTTTCATTAAAAGTTCAATGTTTTACAATGTTTTAAATTCGTCATTTAAATGAATATATTTAAATTATTTTATTATTAAATTACATAACACTTTAAATTGTAATATCTAAAGCTTAAAAATTTAAAAAGGGATTCCTTATACATTTTGTATACCGGAAATAAAAAAAAATATCAAAAGTAATTGAAGTTCAAATGTTGACGATATTAGAATATTCAAATAGATAATAATGATTAATTTTATTATTTTTCAATTTAGAAAATGTTAGTCGTAGAAACTTAAAACAGTTGAAAATTTTTAGACACTGCAATGCTATTTGTATGAGTTTTAATTTTTTTTATAAATGTTCTTAAACATTTTTTCTCAATCATAATACTTAAAATTCATTTGTAGAAAAAAATTTTTCATTCTTTGTCTCATACGTCAAAAAAAATACAATACGTTCATTTTGAGATATTAAGTAAGTTTATTTGGAATCAATAAACTACATTAACTATCCAAATTGTTGAAAATCTGTTTCCTACAAAAAATATTTAAAAAAAGGCTAACGAATTCAAATTCTTTTTCAAAATTAAAACTATTTAACAACTAAAGGCTAGAAGTATATTTATTTTTTGTCAGTTTATTAACATCCATCGTTGCTCGTATATAATATGCTATAGAACAGGGGTAGCTAACTTTAATAGACTGTGATCGACCTCTGAGTTTTTCTAGGTTATCATGATTGACCAAGAAAAAAACAGGTTCTGAACAAAAATTTATTTTTCATACATACGTGTTATACTTTTATTGTCTAGAATATTCAAAATATTAATAAGTTGTGATAACGTTTAATTTCCTAATTTTTCCTAGTTTTATTATACTACACGTTTTTTAATACATTTTATTATAAATAATTACATTTAACTTCTTATTTTTTTTTTTACTGGGAAAAATTCAAAAAAAGACGAAAGAGAGTCGTGATCGACCTGGTGGCCACCCCTACTATAGAACTAGAACACATTGAACCACATTCACAGAAAATTAGAAATTGCCTACATGTTGTTCCTTAAAACTATCGGGATGTTTTTGGTTACACGTCCTCACAAATGGTCACACTGCGCCGTCGGGCGGTAACATTATCAGCGTCCTGTTATCTCAGAATATGCGGCCAATGGTAGGACAGTAAATACAAGTTGATACCTATTCGATAATCCGTCTTGTTCCACTGCCGAGTACTTAGTAGATGGTGCTGGAGTGCGAGCGTTATCTTTTTATTATCTTGTATTTTTATTCTCACCTACGCCCAACGTTGCCCAAATTGGTTTCCGATTTTCATCTTTCACCCCGACTGCAATCCGGCGTAAACCAAACATGAGCCGTCTGATCGCGATGATCGCTCTGGCCACCGCCGTTTTGGCGTCCGGTGAGTACGATTTTCTTTTTGCCGGACACGCCCCATCAGTTGTCCTTCCTCGCCAAAACTTTTGTCGGTTGTTTCTCATTCCCAGTGACCCAGTAATTTATTCTAAAGTCCCGTTGTATTTATTACTGTACTCGTAATTTTCTAGCAAGTGCCCAAAGCCATCAACTATATGTCCTCAACAGTCCATCAAGCGTCAAGATCGGTCAGTCCGTGCCATTGCGTGCCACCGAGTTGGCTGATGTTGTATCGTCGACATTGGGCTTCACCGTTCCGCATGGAGAAAGTGAACAAGTTTTACACTTGACAAAGTAACAACACTTGGTATACTGAAATTATACGTACTTATCATACTCCAATTAAATTGTATTTTGTCAAGACTACTCAGTTGATGACTGAAGAACAGTTTATGATAAATAACTGCTTATTTAAACATAATTATTTTAAATGTTATCATTATAACTTATAAAGTACTTGTTTAATAATTATGGGTTACTTCTGAAGTAGATAAATGTTTCTATTATAAAATTAAAATAAAGACATATACTTATGAATGATTCAAGTATAAAAATGTATATTTATTTTAAGGAAGTGTATAGAATGGGGTCGCCTGATGTTAATCGTTACTAATATTTTAAAACTTATTTTATTAGGAAAAAACTTGGAGCAATTTAATGGTGGCAGATCCATTTTCATTACCTGAAGCTGTAGTTGTCCTTGAGATACCTGGATTAATGAATCCCGGTTTCAACTTAAATAAAGTTGACCATCATGATTTAATTTTGGATGAATCCTTAGATGAAGTGTATACTACTGTGGAACACAGAATGAAGGAGAGACTTAATGATAAGGAATATAGCATTATGCATGGTTCCTTAACCAATGATGAATTTGTAAGACATATTTAATTCATAATTATTACTATTGTATATTAAATCATAGTAATTTTTAGCTTAAGAATCAAGTATTCCATCCAAATTTTAAGCTTAATCCTAGTATTAAACCTGAACACATTGATTCATATGATGAAAAGTATGCTGTGTTTTTCAATGAAATTTACAACTTACATCAATTGGGGCAAGGTGTAAGTACAATTTATAATGTTTTTAAAAAGTTGCATAATAAGTCAAATCAAAACATAAAAAGTCTAGTAAATCATGTTAAAAATATTATTATCTTACTATTGATTATGAATTGTTTAGTGACGATTGATGCAACTCAATATTAACTTGACATAAAATCTTTATACCTTTTATGAATAATTAATCATTATAGGTCAAAGAGAGTTCGTTAAAAAATAATGTACCAGATTTTCATTGGTTTCAATTGCAAGGCATAAAAGCTTTAACTGCTGTAAATAAACCAAATTCAGAAGAAACTATTGATGGTGAAAGGCTTTTAAATGAAGCCATATCTACATTGGTTCAATCATATAATGACATTTATAATAATGAGGTATAAATTCAATTGACATATTTATTTTAATAGGTTTTACTTTTTACTGTATATTAATAAAACTTTAGATATAATTATTAAATATTTTAATAAAATATTATTTAGGTGTTAATTATTGCTATTACCAACAAAGCAAAAGAATCGCATAGAAATAAACGTGAACTTAGTAGCGTAGAAAAGGTAAATAATTGTGTTACAAACAATTAGGCTTGATATTAATTTTGTAAAAATGAATAATGTATATTATGTATATTTATTCTTTTTTTAGAATCTTAATGTTGCTGAACCAATATCTAATGATTATCCAGTTATATTCAACCTTATACTGTGGTTTGTTGTAATATTTGTCTTTTCCCTTTTGGCTATAGCATGTAAGTATTATTATTGGTTTCATTTTAATAAAAGTGAATAATATATTTTTAATACTAACACTAGGACTGAATTTTTTGTAACTAACATTATTTTATCAGACTTAAATATTAAAAAGGTTTCTAAACCTCCAATTAAATATATGCAGTCTGTCAGTAACTTACAAACATGTATTATTAAATTATTCTATAACTAATGAAAGAAATATTGTATTGAGTTTTCAAGGTTTAAGCTTCAGGATTATGATATAACATTATGAAAACTGTATAATTGTAATGACTTACATTTTCAATACAAATCCGTTATATTCAATTTATAATACTTGTTCTATTTATTTCTTAATTTCATAACTAATTACGATTCATTGATTTTCCATACATTAATCTCTATATTTTTAATAGATTTTACTCATTAAATGCTTAGTCTAAGCGGCCAAATATATACTAAGTAATTAGGGCTCGGAATTTGATGCATTTTTTTTTTTTTTTTGGAACTTATTAGATGATGCTCTCCTGGCTATAAATGTATTTCATAAACACGTGAATCTAAATAACTAATTTTTATTTTGCATTTTTTGGTCTTTTTTACTTTTTAAGTCATTTTAAAGTCATATTTTCCTTTTTCAGTCATTTTTTGTCATTTTTATCTCCTATTTCTTTTTTAGTTCAATTTCTTGTATTTATAACTAGATTTTGTCAATTAGCATCTTTAGACACATAGTTTTTGACAATATAAAATATGGTTTAATAGTATAATGTGATCATTTTAAGTAATTTTTATTATTATTACAATTCTTTAAAAAAAAATATATATATGTATTTTTACTAGTTTTAAACAAATATTATTAATTTTTTGGGTCATTTTTGTCATTTTTAAGTCATATTTGCATATATATTTTTAGGTCATTTTTTTAATATCTTTAAGGTCATTAAATTCCGAGCCCTGACAATAATAATTTATTTTAACACAATCAATATTAAACTATTGCTTTGAAAACGTCAAGTTTTACATGGTTTGTTAGTTAAAGTACGTCATGTAACTTTTATTAGTTATAAATTATAATTATTCAAAGTATCTGGTAACAAGTAACATATTTCAAACAAATAATTATTTATGTTATAGTAAATACAATATCACTCAAAAACTAATTATTAAATGTCTGTTTAATACATTGTGATATTTTATATGGAATTTAATATCTGACATAATCTATTTCACTAATAATAATTAATAAATATGTTTGTTTAAATACAATTTGAAATAGTTAAAAATTATAAGACATTAATTGTGTTTATATCTAATTTATTAATTGTTTACATTCATAATAATAATAATGAATGTTTACATTATTAATATGAAAAAAAAATTAAATTTTTTGTTTTACTATACTAGTTTTTAGTCACTATTTTGATTATCAGTTGTATATAAGTACTTTATATCTATTATACAATATTGGTAGGTTAATAATTTTATCATAAGTTATAGCACAATAATAAAAACTAACTTCTATTTAAATTATATTTTTGTATTTTTCATTAGGTTGAAAAACTAAAAAAAATGTTAAATAATGAATGGAATATCTATTATATCATAAGTTTTTAAACATATTAATTATTTGATTAATAATTTTTTAATTTAAATAATTTAATCATCTAATTTTACTGTTTTTTTTTTAGTGAGTATTGCCCAAATGGATCCTGGTCGCGATTCAATAATCTACCGTATGACCAGTAATAGAATGAAGAAAGAAAACTAAGTGTTCATAACATATTGAAACATGTTGACTATGCAACTAATAATTATGAATGATTAAAAAAGAAACAACAACAAAACTTAAATTTGGCTTAGAATCCATTCCAATTTGTATATAAGTGTTTGCGTTCAACACAAATATTATGATTATTGTACTAAGTTTTTGTTTTATTTAATTTAAATTATTATTTTGAAACAAAGGTATTTAGTATTTTAATATTTCTTTATTTTATTTATGTAAATTGAAAATTTATCAATTTGTTTTAAATTTCTTATGTTATCTAATTAGTAATTACCTTTGATAAGTAAGTAAAAGTAATAAATATGTACTGTTGTAAGTTCTTTCTAATTATTATTTATTAATTATTACAAATTGTTATAAATTATAAATTAATTTTCCAATAGAAAGGTAGGAGATTCTATCGTACGGAACTTTTTAAAGTAAATGCCTATTAGATTGTTATTTACAATAATTGAAAAACTATAGGAATACTTATTTAAAATATATATGTTCTAATATTTATTAAAATATGAAAAAAGCTAAAACACTTAAATATGTAATAATAAAACATTTTTCTTACAAATTAAGTTACTTGAAACATTGATTATATTGGTACTAGTTTTTCACAGAAAGTACAGTGTTTTATATCTAACCTTTGCAGTTAAATTTTTCCTATTTATGTATATTGTTAATAATCAAAAACTAATTAATTTTTCAACACAGAATTTTTGTAAATTTAAATTATTTAACATGTCTAGTATTTACATATTTACCATAGTAACCTAACCAAATTATTATTTTTTAGTAGAAATATGGACAAAATGTGTGTGAATTTTAATAAACTTCACTTATATAGAATTGTATTGCAATATTAGTTAGGTGAATTTCATTTATTTGTTGGAAACACAAATCACAACAAAAATTATATCTAATATACGAGTTTATAGTTTTATATTAATTTAAACTTGAATTATAAAATTTTCATTGATATATCTTAACAAACCAAACTTATATAACAACTATCGGTAAACTTACTTGTAAAAGTGAAATAATAAAAGGAATCTATAACGATAGGTGTTCAGTGTTAATTAAACGAATAAATTAAAAATATGTACTTGATAGAATACCGAAGAAATGAATCCATGATCTTGGTGTACCTAGATAGCCTATTCATAACGCCGTTTGTCTATAATAATATTTTTTAAATAATACGATTATGAGAATATTATTATTGTAACATCCGTATTTTGTACATTTTAAAATCCTCATAATTCACTTTAAAATAAAAATATGAAAAAAAGCCTATGATGTTGACTAATTTATATTTTTACTTATAAAATTGATAATTTGCAAATAAATTTCACTGTAATGTTAAACATGACAGAGTCAATTAATAGATTTTTCAGATCGAAAAATTTGCTATGCTCTGTATTTGTAAGACGGAAACACTGCATGCTGGTGTAGCGTCCTCTTATTAAGTATGTTATTATTTTATCAACAGATTTTTATTGTGGCATGGTGGTTGGCTTCAGTCACTAATGTGTTCTGAGGTCAAGCATCGGTCGGCGTCGTTAGTTCTCGGATTGGTGACCACCCGAGTTCTTAGTGACGAATCCATGGCATACACACACGTGTTCCAACCGTATTAATCAAACTTTACACAAAAAAAAAAAAAAGATTTTTATTATCTATTTTAAATAATAATATTATGTAATGTTACTAATATTACCTTATAACTTATAAACAATTATAAACTAGGAAAATAGACAACGAATGTAATAATTTTACAACCGAGCTGCATCATACTCGTATATTGGCAATGTACGATTTGATGTATTTAATTGTATTAATTATCTCTACTTTTTAAACGATTGTTTTAATAAATATCATATTATCTGAACATTTTGGTATAGAATTTATTTATTTATATATTATGATATTTTACCCGTTACCATCAATAAAAACAAAACGTTAAGTTATTTGTTGGTCAATATTAAATTCAACTGTCAATGAATTATTTTAAACGTATAATCGATATTCTAAACATTTATTTATAAAATCAATAATTTAAAACACTTTTCAATCCTATAGGATGCAGTGAGTATAACCACGATAAGACTAATGACTGCGAAGATGGTCTTATATAGTGATAAGTTTAATACAAACTGCTCAAATGCGAGTGAACTGGGCGTCCGACTTTATATATGACTGTCTCGTCGATTAACGGCTGAAAATTAGTCAAACTAGTTTCAATTTGCTACCGCTTATCAGAAACCTAGTTTGAATTTGATTCATCTAATTTAGTGTTCAGTTTACAATGAAGAGGTGCACTCGACATTTGTACACTCAATACCTACTTACTGTACAGCAGAGAAACTTCCCAGGATTTAAAAAAATGAATTGTAACTATAAACTATAAAATATTTTTTCATTAAATAATAGCATAATAGAATGCAGTCTCCATTTCTATTTCAATATAATTTTATAATTAATTTTTTTTTTTTTTTTTTTGCTACTTAAAAATATAAAAATATGTAATGTTCTTGTTTATACTATTAAATCGTACTTGCATTTTTAATAATTAGTATAGAGTACCTATTTCAACATGAATAATAGTTTTTCGGTGTTTATTTTTAATGCCAATTTTTTTTTTCTAGACTTACTCTGTTACAAATAACTCCATTTTCTCAATAAAATATGATAATTAACAATAGAAAATTCATATTATAGAAAAAAAATCGTTTAAGTTATTTTCTAGAAAAACATACTTTGTATGTATAATTGGCTTAACCCCGTGTTGTTGTTTCAACTTAATAATATGATAGTCAGGGTTGATTTGTATTTAAGTATGTCAATATAATATGTAAAAACAAATTGATTTGAAAAAAAATATATATATATTTATTTATAAAAGTATAGCATATGTTATAATAATAGATAATTATATAATATTATTGTTATGGTCACGATATATATATATAAATCATATATGTGTTATTATATATGATGTACATATTTACATAATATTCACGGCCAATTTGATTACGTTTTTTATATATATATATATATGTTCTTTGCATGACATTTTAGTCCACACAACTGAATGTATTACATGTGTTTACAAACACTATACAATTATAAATATAAATATTATTATAATGGTTTAGACTTATAGTTCTCTTAAAACATAATATTATATTATATTATATTGATACATAAATATATTATACTCGCGTATTATAATATAATTCATTATAAATTATTATCACGGTAATAATAATGATAATAATCATAATAATTAAAAGCTGGTATTATAATCGTATACATAATATATTGTTTTAAACGCTATAAAATAATATATATATATAAATATAATATATTTAAGGCTAATGTTATACATAAATATAATATTTACAAAGACAAGAAAAAAAAATAATATACATGATATATGATGATAAATATGTATAATATTATAATACGTTTTATAATATTATAATATTATTGTCGTGTTAAAAAATAAAATGTTATTTCGGCTACTCGCGTCGGCTATACGTTCGTTATCGTGTGTAGTAATAATAATTTAAAAATAATCCTTGTAATAATAATATCATCGCGTTATTGATACAGTTCACGATGAATAGTAGAAATCATTAAGTAATTATAGTTGAACCGGGCACGTTGTTGTTTAGCGGAGCCGCCGTCGCCTCGTAAGTAAAAAAAAAAGAAAAAGAACATTGAAAACAATTCTCTTATAATATACAATTATAATATAATATTGATACGGTTATATATCATCTAATTCGAGCATTGCTCGTACGTCATTCGTCATACTGCTTACTACAGTAGATGTGCTTAAAAATAAATAAAATAATTTAAACAGACGTTTCGTGTGGTCGTTTTACTACATACGTCGTCTGCCCTGCGCGGAAAAAGTAAATTATTACGTCAACATCTGCGCATCCTGAGTGTATAATTTGATAAAAAAAAAAAAAATATATATATATATATATAGGGTATACCCGCATATATATTTATAATATTAATTATGAACAGGTAAAATTATAAAAATGCATAGTAGTCGTGCACGCGCACGTGGATGGAAATGATATTAGTATATTATAGTTTGTCTTTGGCGGTGTGCACTAAACGTCACCCTTGTATTTTACTGCTTATTATTACGTGCACAAATCGTATAAAATGTTAAATAATAATAATTATTGTTAAGCGCCACGAAATCGACGCGCTTCGTACAACAAAAAAAATCTGAACCGAATTCGTCATCGACGTGTGACTGTCCCCGTTTTCGGGGTGTTCGCGGAATGGGAAGGGGATTGGGTAATCGGATTTGGTCTGGGTGGTTGTTGGGAAACGGTATTAAATAAAAATAAAATAAAATAGTTATTTCAAAAACTGAGCGCGGGGCCTAACTACGAACTGGCCATCTTGACGAACTCGGCGGCTTCGAACGCGGCGCCGTGCATGTACGGGCCCTGCGCGGTGGGCGGCGCGCCGCACGACATCGCTTTGGCGTTGTTCATGGACCGGACCCGCAAGAACAGGAACGTGACCACCAGACAGGCGACCACCAACACGGACAGGAGCATGGCCAGACCGGCGACGAACGACGGGACGCTGATGCACACGCTGTCCGACGACAGCCCGGACCGGGTGGACACGACCACGGTATCGCCGTTACCGCCGTTACCGCCGTTCGTGCCGTTACCGCCGCCGCCGTTGGGCACGTTCAGCGCGAAGTTCACGTCGCCCGGCGCGACCACCTGTATGACGCGGCTGGTGTTGACGTCCAGCTCGGGATCGCCGGTGGACCGACGTTGGTGTCGGTGCGGCTTGTTGGCACCGCCGTCCATGTCGACGGACCGCGGACGGCCGCCCAGCGACACCAGGTTCATGTGCTGCTGTTGGTCGTCACCGCCGACGGTGCCCTGTCGCTTGACGGTGGCGTACGACGACCCGTGGCCGGGCAACGGTGGCGGCGGCACAACCGTCGTCGCTGCGCGTGGCCGTCGCGGCGGTCGCCGCCGCGGTCGCCGCGGCGTCCAGTCTTTGCTGCTGGGCTGCTGGCCGACGGCGGGGCCGTTCGGCAACACTACTTCCGGTTTGAGCTCGAGCACGCCGGCCGGCCGGACGGTGTCTGGGGTCCGGATACGCGGGATAGTCGCCCAACAGCGACGGCGGC